AGAGATTGAGACTGGCTGTGTGTACGTCAAAGTGCTGGCACTCTTTCCCATGCATCAGCATCACATACTAGAGCAGAGGAACCTGCAGAGAATACTCTTGATTGTGACAGACTACACCTCTGTTATGCATTAACCCAATAAAGAACTTGCATCCGTTGCCAGGGACTATGGCCATTTATATGCCTGCATGTGTCCTTGATGCAGTAACGTGCCTAGCTGTCTTACTCATGCATGTTCGTGTCATGTGTACGACAGAGCCATCCACTGGAGTGGAACCCAACGCAAGGCATTTCACGGCAGCCTTTATTAACTTGGTGTCTGTTTGTCTCATCTGGTGGCCATTTCTAACAGGGAATGGCTCATCTCCTGTTCACAGGATCAGCTGCCACTGACTTTGCTGGAGGTAGATTAGAGATTGCAACTATAGAACATCCACTTGTCATGATTCCATGTCCCCCTCAGCCCCTTTCCTCACAGAGATGGGAGGAACTTTGCATTTGTTTACACCGAGGGAAAGGGGGCTGCTATTTCTTAGTTGTATAGATGATACCATGGAACTACTGACTGCTTTTTCGACCTCAAGCCTTCACTGCTGGAGCCCAGATAATCATTGCTTATAAATGCAGTGATTTCTTATGTAATCTTAGGAAGTAACTGCACAAGCTCTCTCTCTGGGATGGTGGCCATAACACAGGTACATTTTGCGGCACCTTTTTTTCTGAACATGCTTCTCTTTGGGTCATAGAGTTTATTTATTGTAAGCCATCCCGAGACGTTCTGTAGGGGACGGGATAGAAAAGCTCTTAATAAATAAATAATAAATAGCCACTATGCTCCAGTTCCAAGGCTTCTACACTGCCAGAAACTTCTTTGTGGTTATGCTATTTGCTGTGTCCATTTTGGCTCTGTAAGCAAAATGGACATGGCAAATGTGCCTTAATTCTGGAAACCAAGGGAATGATTGTTCATACCATATTAAGTCAGGATTAGCTTCGTGCAGTCTGCCAGAAGACATGCCTGTTTGTTTCATAAAATGCACTAATTTCATAATATGCAAAAGTATCCAAAAATTGAGCGTTCTTATATAGTTAAAACTAAAGCAAACCTTCATATTACTTAAGCACAGGCATGATCACTGGGCTGCAATTTTGCACTCAGAAATATTTAGATTACAGACTCACTATAAACTCAACCATCCATTCCAGCTCTTTCTACATTGTAAGGATGCATCTAGGTCAGCAGCTTTTTCACATAATCTGATCCTGATACTTATACAATAAATAAGATGTACCTGCTTGTGCTCGACTTGTTATTTTCATTCTAGAACAACTGCTCTGGACAGAAGTTTCACACCTTCCCTTCTTTCTGCCCCGGCAGGCATTCACCTTTTCTCTTAGATACCTTGTTAATATCATTTGCTAATAAGAGCTCTCAAAACTTCTTTCTTTGCTTTTCCTGCTCCTCCCAGTAAGAAAACTATGTCAAGTTTACTGGAGTGTTATAATTACACAAGTTTGACATTTATTAGGGATAAAAAACCCAAGTCTAACAATTCCTGGAAAAAAGAAGCTCTGTATATAAGTATTTGTAAATAAGAGTACTAAGGCTGTAAACAAAAGCAAAATGAAATGAACCATGAGAAGAATTGTGCTAGGATTCTTGGGTCCTAGGATATAGGACCAAGGCAGTCCTATATAATGTTCCAAAATTGATTCATCACATATATTCAGAGAGTAGATAATCTGAGTAAATAGTGCAGAACAAAAAAACAACTAATGCCAAAAAAGAAAAAAAAAAAAGAATGGGTAACAAAAAGGCTTGAGATTCCAGTTATTTGTTCTACATTGTACTCTAGCTAACGAGCGACCTCTTGTGTTGAAAAATCTCCAAAATGAGGCTTTCAATAAACATATTCACAGAAAGTCTGTCAAAAAGTTTCAGATTAACAGGTTTGAGCAGTGATTCCTGAACTTAGTATGAAGGTCTAAATTCACACACTTTGGCTGAGATACAATTCTGTTTCTCATGACCTCTGGAGCTATTTGAATCTTCAGCAGCTTAATTTCTGTAAAACATGTTTGCATCCATTTCTAAACTTCTGTTCTTAGTACCCTTCCTGATCTATAGGCTTCCCTGTAACCATAAACATGAGGACAAGGATGAGTACAGATAGTTCCTGTTTTATTTTTGATGCTCAAGAAATAAAAGATTCTAAAGAATCTAACACTGATGCTATTCCTGCCTTGTTTATTATCTGGTTTCCATTTTAAAGATGAAATTAATGATGGTCACAAGTGGTATCATTTATTTTCCCATACAGTTCTATTCTGCATATATTCACCTTTTTCTGATCCTATTCAGTGTTTCTGTCCTCTTTACTGCTTCAGCAATATTGCTTCCCACAATTAGTTGACATTATTATGTTATGCAAACATAATAATAGTCAAACAATGCTAACTGGCAGAAAAATATAAATGAACAAATGAACATTTCACAAGCAGGAGCAAGAAAAGTAATCATATAGCAGCAGCCTTTTTAAAACTTTGCAGACATTTTGCTTCCATTTAGCCTTAGAACCACCTTGGTTCTCAATAAAGAATATACTATCCATTCCTTTTCTGCAGACAGCATTTCTTAATGTAAGATTTAGTTCTACAGAATTCAAACTGAATGAAATAACTGAATGAAATAACAAAGATATCTGGATGTTTCAAAGGACTAAATTATAAAAAAGCAAATAAAGATGAACATTTTTAAACTAGAGACACATTACGTATTGTGACAAATTCAGTTCGACCATTAGATGTCACACTTGTCTTGGGAGATAAATGCACAGGCACTGGGGTCCTTTTCTCATATTCAGAGATAGCAAAGAAAGAGTGACAGAAATCGGCGCTGTTCTTTAATAGAATACTCCAGAGAAGCTGGGAAAGGTGGTGTCTGTGATCTGTGTCTTATTTACAAATGTCTTCCCGTGCAACAAAACCCCCTCAATTCCCTTTTTAAAAGCCAGGAGGTTCAAGAAATGGTTTGAACAGGTATGGCGCTTTACCAAAGAAATGTAAGGGAAAGGGACAAATGGGAACAGGGAGCTTTATTCACCTCACTTCATCACAGCCCAAACAAGTTTGGCTGCTCTCCCACAATTGAGAAGATAACAGAATTTCAAATTTTTCTTAAATAAGATCCCCTACAAGTACCGTGGTACCTCAGCTCACGAACGCCTCAGTTCACGACCAAATCGGGTCATGACAGGAATTTTATAAAAATTTTGCCACAGGTCGCAAACTCTGCATCAGGTGATGATCGCGAGTGCACCCGCCTTCCCTGCACGGGCGCAATCGCAGTCATGCTGGGGGGGGGAGATGACCGTGTCTGTGCTGGGGGGAAGGTTGTCACAATTGTGCCTGTGTTCCCTGCCCCCCACGCCAGAGTCAGCCTCCCCCCCCCG